AAAGAGAGAGAGAGAAAGAGAGAGAGAAAGAGAGAGAGAGAGAGAATGTTTTACGGAGCGGGTTGTCCCAGCACGTGAGACATGTAATTTACTAATGTCCTGTCTTGTTGTGCGTATGCGTGAGGGCACCTAACCTTTGTAACGTCTACTGCCCTTGTTAACGACCAAGATAAATTTTCCTCCTGCAAGATGAATAAAGATTGTCATTGTCAACTTCGCCCTACCCTTGCCGCGGCTCTCTCCTCGTGAGTGATGAGTCTCACGCCCTCCGCGGCCAACGACTGCGTCGTCTCCTCAAACAGCCGACTGGGCTCTGTCTCGCCCTTGCCGTGCAGCTCCAGGTACCTGTCCACAAACCTGCAGGAAATTGATGCTCAGTTACCAAGTGGGCAGGATTTTTAGTATCTCGAAGCCTGCTTCCTGAATTATGTAAATTATGTTGATGGGGTCGAAAAAAACCACCTACATTAACATACAAAATAATCTAAAACAAAGAAACAAACAAAAAAACAGCTTCCCCACCACCCAGAAAAATAAGCAAAAAAAATTAAAATAAAAATAAAATAAAACCCAGTGTACCATGGCTTCAACAAACATAGATCTAATTTTGTTTGAAAAGTACCAAAGTACTGTAGTACTTCTAAAACACACTTCAACATATTGGCGTAAACAATAGATATTTCCAACAGTAACAATGACAGTGACAAGGTATCAGAGGTCGTTCATTTCCATCCGGAGACTCACTTTTGTGGTATTGATTTGGAATTTTCATTGGACAAAACTGTTGCTCCAGGATCAGCATACGTCTTGTAGAAACGCCTGGAAAAAAAAAATGCGCATTTAATTTCTACATTTCGAAAGGCAAAATAAAGGTGTTCTGTTCTTTTTCTTTAGATTTATCGAAACCTACGATCAAGGTCAGGCCCGTGAGATATTCTTCGAGTGAGAGCAACTCTGGGTCAAATTCCTTATATGTATACATATTATATGTATGAGATTATGGTCACAGATTCTTGAACTGGGCGATATAAAACATTCCTATGACTCTACAACTCTACTAAACACTAAAATCTCTCTCTCTCTCTCTCTCGCCCTCTCTCTCTCTCACTCTCTCTTTCATTGTAACTGAGAGCCAGATCAGTTTCCGTCTCTTAGCTATAAATGAAAATGTCCTCATTTCACAACAATAATATTTTAGATAAATTTAGCGATAAAAGTACAGTTGTGTCTGTGGTGTTGTAGTTTTAGATACTTCGCTGTCGCAAGCAGAAGGCCCATGTTTGATTTTTGAATGAGGAGAAATTCTTATTGAATATCGAGGTCTTTCTCCTGGAACGTTGTATCCCTCTCAGCCCAGGATGGCCCTGACATGCTAGATCAGAAGCCAGCCTCCAAATTAATCTAACTTGCATCCTTAGAACTAATAGGAGCATAAAAACATCTGATCTAAAAAAACTCCAAATGTTTTAACACTTTGCAGTCACACAGCCAGCAGTGCGAAATACTCCATCTGGTCACCCAGCAAGGAGAGTGACTGGAGGAATGGACTTCTCGGGCCTGTGACAGAACTGTGTTAAGTGATAGGAACAGATTTAATTTTCACCGTCTCGCATTATAGCGTCAGGTGACCGCAAAGTGTTAAACAATAAAAGTACCACTACAGAATAAAGTAGAAAAAGCAGACCCCACCCGAGTGCCTACATGTCACTTGTTGTAAAGTTGCAAAGAAATAAAGGCTGAAACAAAGTCTGAGCAGACCACACCACCACAGCGCCCACTAACCACCTGCTGTAGGACTGGTGTACTGGAAGAACATACGGCAAGTCAATGCCATTATACACTTATTAAATAGTGGCAACATTTTGTCAGGAACAGGAGACGGTAAAAAGCAACACTGTAAACAATAGAAGTGGTTTTAACAATCTTTAAACCAAAAGGACATAGAGTCATGCTATAATGTAATACAAAGTTGGCCTTTTATTTTTGGAAAATGAACAGCTGGCTGATTTTAAAAAAAAAATTTCTTAAGAGTTTTACAGCACTTGCAACACAATAAAGTCATACAAGTGCCGAAGAATAGCTGTGTTACAAGAGAGTAACATACACAAAAAAAAGGAGGAGAGATAAGGACGACGGATGTTTTTTGGTGTTTTTTTTCTATTTTATAGTAGTAGTAGAGTGTTTTACGGCGCTCGCAACTGCATAAGGTCATATGAGCACCAAGGGGTGGGTGTCAACAGAGAAATCTTTACAGGGAATCAGACTTAGACTGCTCACCTCTCTAACCTCAACAGCACAAGGTCTGCTTCGACTATTAAGGCACCCCAAAATAGCAGGTCACAAGAGAGTGACAAACATACCAAAGAAGTAGAGGAAAATGACAATAGTACGGATCAGGAAAGAAAAAGCAACAGTTCCCTGTTGTAGATCAGGCACAGTTATGAGCATGACATGAGTCAGCCCATTTACAATTCTACTATGCTTGAACGAGAAATATCCCCCCTTTGGGAATGGCCTAAAGACACTTCAGTCAGTGGCACTGCCCCGGGGGGTTTCACAGATGTTTGATAGGAAAGAAGGAGCAAACCACACCAGAGCACCTGCCAACAACCCACAGCTAGTTTCTTTGAAGAGACTTTTTGCACAAGAAAGAATGCTTCAATTAACCCTTCTGACACACACACTGTTTCAGACATAGAAACTACCGTTCAGTACAAACTTCTGAGATGACTTACGCTCTGACAAAGTCCTCAGGGTACAGAATTTTCTGTACTTCTCTGTGTGGAGGTACCGGCTTCGGAGGTTTTGCCTTGACAATGTCGTACCAAATAGGTCTGTCTTCAGCTTTCATCGCCCCAGCCCTCAGCAATCCCTGCAGTCTGTGGACAAGGACAGATGAGACACAACATAAGGGTTGGGACCTAGGTGAATTTTCAAATAATTATTTTATAATTCTGATGTCACACAAAATAAAACAGGGGGCTCTCGTGGCCTAGAGGTTAAGGTGTTGGCGTCTCATTCAAAGGTCCCGGGTTCGAATCCGGGTAGCGACTGAAAAATTTTCTTCTCTAAAATTGTCTCCTTTCACCTCATCTCCTGCTCTCTAGCAATGTTCTGTTGTCTGCTATCATTTCCACTTTCTGCCCCCACCCCCTCACCTCCTTTGCCCCCTCCTTTGGGCTCCTGACTCTTCCTGCAGCCTTTCTACTACTCCTCCTTGGCTCCTCCTTACTGCTGTCTTTCTGCCACACCCCTGATCTTCTGGTAGGAAAGATCTACACCTGGCCTTCTCGGACAAGGGCGAAAAATCTCGGAGGGGCCGAGTGCAAGTTGCGCACGTTAAAGATCCCTTGGTGGTCTAAAATCAATGAGTAGGCTTCGGCTGCCACTCGGGCAAAATTCAAAATTTCCTACCAACTGAAAATATTAGGTGTGTCCCCTGCGCTCATATGACCTTATGTATGCAGTTGCGAGTGCCGTAAAACACTTTACAAAAAAACACAAAATAAAGCATATCTTTACAAGAGAAGTTTTACATATGAAAATGAAAAGAAAAAGTGATTTAAAGATAGAGATTTTTTTAAAAAGTTCACTTTGCATGCCTGGAAGGGTTGGTGATTTTTTAATAAAAAAAAAAAAATAGAAATTGTAAAAATCGGTTTTTTAAATTTAAATCAGATTTTTTTCATTGAAATCGGATTTTTAAATTTTTTGGGTAAAATGTCAACACAGTTTGGGATTTTTGGTGGCTAAAAGTATGTTCTTTTAGTGCCAAATACATTGTCTTTATTTTAACTAATGATTAATTTCAGCTGCAAAAGAAAGCCTTAATCTGCTAGATATCAGTGAATTATGGCTACAGACAAAAAAAGAAGAAAATGTCAGTCTAAAAGGAAGGGGGGAGGGGGGGTGGAGGGTGGGTAATTATGCATAGATAGATAAACTTCCAATTTATTACAGTGTGTGTGTGTGTGTGTGTGTGTGTGTGTGTGTGTGTGTGTGTGTGTGTGTGTGTGTGTGTGCGCACACTTGTGTTTGTCTAAAAAGAAAAAGAAAATGCTAATTTCAATTATGAAAAAAAAAGTAAATTAAATACTGTGTATTATTTTACAGTGACAGGGGGGAAAGCAGACTTTTAAGCATGATTATATTAGTCTTCTAAACCTTATATATATCTATTCTATAAAACCAAGGAAAGGAATTCTGAATGTTTAAAGACGTAAAAACAGAATACATTAAAAAAAAAAAGTGATTTAAATCACTGAGTTTTATTTTTAAAATCAAGTTGATTAAAATTTTTAAAACTGAACTGATTTAAATCAACCCAACCCTGATTTCAATTATGAAAAAAAAGTAAATTGAATACCGTATTATTTTACAGTGAAAGACTTTCAAGCATGATTATATTAGTCTACTAAACCTTTATATCTGTTTAGATTCTAATTTAAAACCAAGTAAAGGAATTCTGAATGTTTGAATATATATGTAAAAACGGAATACATTTTTTAAAAAGCGATTTAAATCACTGATTTTTATTTTAAGAATCAAGTTGATTAAAATTTAAAAAATTAACCGATTTAAATCAACCCAGCTCTGATTTCAATTATGGAAAAAAAGTAAAAATAAAATACTGTTTTATTTTACAGTGAAAGCAGACTTTTAAGCATGATTATATTAGATCTAGATCTAGATCTAGTCTACCAAACCTTATATATTCTGTTTTATGAAACCAAGGAAAGGAATTCTGAATATTGAAATATGTAAAAACTGAATAAAAATAAATTGTTTAAAAAGTGATTTAAATCACTGATTTATATTTAAAAAATCAAGTTGATTTAAATTTAAAAAATCAACTGATTTAAATCGACCTGATTTAAATCAACCCAACCCTGACGCATGGAACAAACAAAAATAAGCAAGAAAGGATTTTTTTAGACGACAACACAGGTACTAGGTCGTGGCACTTTCAACCTGATTCTTGTGGTGAACTTAAATTACTGTTTGTACTTTCAGATATCAAGCATCACCTCATATATATAACACACCATGGGGACAGGTTCAGTATCGAGTGGAGGTTTTGTGGCTGCCAGTGCAGGGGCATTTTTCACTCATGCACCCGTCTCATGTAGGCCTACGTACAAGTTTTATACTTTTTTCTATTAGTATTTTGCATGCTGAAAGCAAAAGTAGAAGGCCTTCATTTGTGCTCCAAATCAATAGTTATATATATTGACTATTGATGTCTGAAAACAGAATAGGCCTAATGCATCAATCTTGATATCTAGTATTTGACTCGTTTTTGTAACGATACCGTCATGGGGGGTTTCAGGGAAGCATGCCCTCCCATCCTAAAAATAACCGGGGGTTTCCAGGGAGCGCATACCCCCCCCATTTCACCATGACTTGATGTTTTGGCAATTAGGGTTGAGATTTACTTGAAAACAATTGATTTGCAAAGGGTATTTCTAGTTAGTGGCCGTGTGTAGATCTACTCTACAGCAAAAATTGTATAAATATATGGCAGTTCAGATTTCATCTGTGTGTGGGGGTCATTCATCATTCATCCAGAGCCAGATCTGCGACAGACATCGGCGATCATGATTTTCCATTCATTCCTTTGCTCGGATGCTCTCAGAAAAGCTACGTTTCCCTGATTTTTCCCTGTTACCCATTTGTTTAGAGGTTCCCTAAGTATGTTGTTCTGGGCCTACCCCTCCCTCGCTTGCCCTCAATTTTACCAGTGAGAGCTAGATGTTCAAGACCCTTTTAAGTCTATTCAGGTGTCCCAAAAACTGCATTTGTCATTTCCTGATTGTTTTTAACATTGAGCGTCCCACATGGGCTTCATCACTGGGGGTGCAAAAGTAAAAATTTACCGCCAGTAGAATAGTAGAATAGTAGGCTCGTGAGTAGGACTACAAAAGTAGAGATTGTAGATGTGGTAGCCGTACATGCCTTGTTACAGTTACGTGCGTGTGTAGTGTTGAGTTGTTGTGTGTGCAGTACGTATAGTGTACATCTACTATGGTGCAGTATAGTCTGTAGCACTATTATTATCTTTTATAATATTAATAAAAATACTCTATACTGACTACTGTGTGTGGCAGTGGACAGTGGACAGAGAAGAAAACAGTCTAGACTCTAGATCTAGATTAGATCTATAGATCTATATATAGATCTGTATTACAAGCCCTTTATTTTCGTTACCTGGTTAGTATAGACCCAACACTCTCTCTTCGACTCCCTGCCATTATGAATTGTCACACTTTGATAAATATCAAGAGCAAATGGAAGAGAATACTATTTTAGCACATTGATAGAGAGGTCAAATATTTGTCTTCGGGATTCGTTAATTCTGTAGAACAAAGTTAAGAATTTTTATATTTTAGAAACTTATCAAAAACATAAACCAAAAAAGAAATGACTGCATATATTATAAAATTAATTAATATGAATACAAAATATAATAAATTACATCTTATTTTGTTTGATAAATAAGAGCCTAGTAAAAATGGTCATGAATGGTTTGATAATGGATTGCTCAAAGTGACAAATCTGAAATTAAAGATCTAGTCATTTCTTTTCTTTCGCCAAGAATCCCATGTGTTGTCAACTTTTTAATTGAACGAATATGAAAAAAAAAGAACGCTTTCGCTTTGAGCAATATTGATATTTTTAGTGAGTGAGTCTTGAGTTGAGTTCACAGAATTCTGTGGTTGAGTTTGAGTTCTCGAGTCTTCAGTGAGTTAGTTGATGAGCTGGTCGTGCATAGACTGGCCCAGCCTAGTGCATGGGAGTTTTTTCGACGTGTCATGTAACTGTTCCTTTTAAGACTTAGATCTAGATTCTAGATCTATATAATCTAGATAGCTCTTTAACTTTAATGTAAACGCGTTGTTATTGTTGTAGCCTAGATTGCATCTGATCTCTCGTCTTGAACCCAGTCTCTTCCTTCCTTCATTCGTGATTTTCAACTGAATCGGTCGCAATGAACATTTTGCCACACAAAAGGTAAGTCACAGTCACGTTACTAACCTAGATCTAGACCTAGATCTAGATTCTAGATTTGGAATCAAGGCTTAGGCTAGAGTAGAACTAATCTAGATCTAGATCAAAAGACTTTTACGGCTGGATTGAACTTTGGTGGACCCACTGTCACTGTGTTTACATACATTCAGTCGAACGTGTGTAGTGTAAAGACGGAATCACAAGGGAGCCAGAAAAAATTTATATCTTAGACATTTTCCGTCTTAGACAGGGGAATTTAGGACGGGGGGGTTCAAAGGCCCAGCTGGTGGGATCAAGGATCACTTGTCCGATCGGCATGCAGTGGTCAAAACTCCACACCTCTCAATTGCTATAAAAGTTTGCTATCCTATGTCATGACATAGCACCAATCTTACATATCCAATTACCACCAGTGCTTGCCTTTCATAGGACCACTGTTTGACCTATTAAAAACAGAACGCAGTGGCTATTTTTACGGCGAGCCGTAAAGATAGCCTCCCAGTGAGTCCCAGGCTATTTTTACGGCGATCCTCGAAAAGCGACCCTACTCCGCCTCTCATGTACGCGACATGCCTCAATGTATTAGATCTAGGCCTATAGGGGCCGTTCAAAATATAAACTTACACCTCAGAGGGGAAAGGGTGTCTTTGGCTTCTGTAAGAAAAGTGTAAGATTGGGTGGGGAGGTTAACCAAATATGACACTTCTGTCTGATGAACGTTTTGCTCATGACTGGAAAGAAAAGATAAAAGAAAAAGTGGATAAATGCCAGTAACAAGACCCAGATCTGCATGATCACTGCAGATCTCCGTTGTTGTTGTTTTTTTGTTTTGTTTGTTTTTTGAGAGGGGGTGGGGGGGGTTACAAATAATTTTGAAATTATGATGAAAATTCTGTAGGTGGACATCTAATTTCTTAATGTTTCTTTGTAACTTTGCAACTGTTTTGTTGATCTTTTAGTGTCTTGATGTCTTTTATTTGTAAGGCACGTACTTATTGCATTGACAAGAGTCTCAATGTCTTCCACATATGCGTTCTTTCTAGTTCATATGGCTCGCCGTAAAAATAGCCACTGCGAAAACAGAAATGTTTGAACATCTCCTTTGGTTCCACCCTTAGCCCCACCCACCAATGCCACCCCTCACTGCCATCATTGTAATGTTGGCAATGATTCGAGGAACTCTTTTATCGGCTGGCCCGGCTTTACAATCAGGGCGGCAGGCATTGGTCAATCTACTTTCACACCTCTGGCTTCTGGACACAGGAAAGTTTCCGTAGTGGTTCGCTACTCAAGCACTCTCAAGGGAAGTCGTGCGATTTTATACCCACACTACATTGACCATCTGCATCGTTCAGGGCTAACATGATGGGGTAATATCTAACCCCAAATTGCACCTCTACTCCTCTACCTCGCCCAGCGGCATAGCCATAGCGTTAAGTTTAGAGTCGGCGGAACCCGAATTGCGAGTTTTGTTTCAAATCAGGGTTGAGCGGGCAAAGCATTCTCCCCGTCTTAGACAGGTGAAACCCTCGGAAGGGAGCCGATTTTTCTTTCTGTTTCCTCGTTGGACAGGTTTCCGTTTTATACAGGTAATTAAAGAGGAATTCAAGGGGGGAGCGGGGAGATTCCGTTAAGACATTCATATTTATGAATGCGCACTAGAATCTAGATTATATATATAGATAGGTAATATTATATCTAGATGACAACAGTGGGGGTGTTTCAGTCAGGGGGGCTTGTCCCCCTTGTTAGTGGGGGGGTTTCCGGGGGAGGGGGTGGCTTGCCCCCCTAGAAACAATAAAAAAAACAACACATTAATGCAAAACAATTTAAAGACTAATAACATGGGTCTCAATATTCCGCTATTTTGCGGATTTACGCTACCGCCATGTCCTCCGCTAAACTCAGCTACTGCGAAAGCAGGTCAATCAGAAAGAGAGTTGCTGGGAGCAGAGTGACTGCCAGGCCTCGGGAATTACCCGCGAATTTGAAAAAAAAATCGCCGAGACGTAGGAAAAAACATAAAAGATCTAGAATATTATTTGAAAACCAAATTCAATTGCGTCTTTAAGTTCATTTTTGTTGGTCGCGATTGTGATGTTAATTCGGCTTTTCCCAGTGTGAGAGTATGTTTCACGCGAACAGGCGGCTTGGCGGCAAGCGGAATTGTATGTGACACAGAGGCTCGACCGGAAAATCAAGATCTCAGAAATTTGTCTTTAAAAGTCTGAATACGCAAGTTTTGTAACATGCAGTTTCTGCATTACAAACGTGGTGTCGCCATGAAAATAATGTTCGTCATTGTGCTGTCGCTTGTGGGGGCAAAAAAAAAAACAAAGAAAGAAATTTATACAAGCGTCTTGTCGGTCTCGTCATTGTGACCGGTCAATGAACCTGCGCACGTTCTGAGCGCTGTGAAGTACAGGACTCCGGAATGGGGGGAGATTATTGATTTTTAAAAAAAGATTTTCACTCGGGGATGGGGGGAGGGTTGGGCGCAACACCAGAGGACAAAAAAAGAAAAGATACTGGAAGCAAATTTTACTTAGAATTTTGATTACTACTACAGCTCTCTTCAAAGTGCGCGTTTGTGCATGCCTTGTGTATAATAATTGGGATCCGTCATAACTACTTGTAAGCGTGTTAATGAACTTAGGGCAGGGGCCTAAGTGTTTGCGTTTCATTGGATGGGTGACAGTAAATTGTCTCTATATTTTAGCTTTGTTCAAGATTCGCAGATTTTCAGTGTCACTGTACCTTGCCCTCCCACAATTCTTACACCTCTCACACTGAATAGGTTTACTTGAGCTATTCAAGTTATTACTCTACTTTCAGTTTGAGCATTAATTTTGTCTTTCTTGTTTATTATACGAATCATGGTTCATGACAGTCGATATTCTGGTTGAAGGCCTTTTCCCAGGCTCAAAACAAGATTCATTTTTATATAGTTTATATAGGCGAACATGATGACAGTAAAATATAAAAGTCGCACAAGACCATAGTGCGCCTCCACTTTCTGTACGTAATCAAGATTGTAAATATTTGGTTAGTGACTCTTACTTGAAATTATCTTCCAAACCCTCAAACTGGTATGAAATAACCTTGCTTTGATAAATTGATGGTTTTTATTCCAACATTCTAGGGTCCAACAGTATAGTGGGTGTCTTGCGAAAATGGGCTTCTGTCGTGATCATGCGGAAAGTTCCTCCTTTTTAAAAATTCTGAATTGAGACCCATGAATGAGAGCGGAGCATTGCACAGCTAAGCTAGTTCAAAATTAGTTCCGGCTCTGTTCAGTGTTGGGTCTACCAAAGTTCAATCTTACCGGCTTAACATCTAAAAATGACTTGCTAGACTAAGTCAGACTAGATGTAGTCTAGATTTCTAGTAGAGTCTAGAATCTAGACTCTACTCCAGTATCTAGATCTAGTTCTACTCTAGCATGAATGCGACTACCGTAGGCCTACATTATTCTTTTGTGCTTCTTTTTCTTTTTGAGAATGACATACTAGAACTTTTTCTTTTTGGACCAATGCATCTTTGCATCGCATCGTTACCCGTTACGCCATCTGGCGTTTAGGGCAGCAACATCTTTGCAGTTTGCATAAAATTGATGTGACTGGGAAATGCACGATCAGCATTGGAGGTTGCTGAAGACTATGAATCTGTGCCGTCGGTGGCCTAGTGGTTAGGCAGGCAGACTCGTAATCGTGTGATTGCGGGTTCGGGGGTTCGAGCCTCAGCTCGACCCGACGTTCTTGGGAAAGGCACTTTGCACGAATTTCCCACTTGGTTCGGTCCTTTCGGAGATGGACGTTAGTTAAACTCGGAGGCCCCGCCTCTTAAATAACCTAATAGTTTTGATAAGGGTGTTAAACCTCTATACCATTTCACCATTTAATGACCCTGGGGCCTGTGGGGGCAGGGCTGAGGCTTCACAGGAACTTGTCTGTGTCTGAATAGGCTTGGTCACACCGGTTGCTAAGACCATGATGAGATCATAAATCCAATGTTCTACCTGCTCTAGCAACATGCGTAAAAGCAATGTAAGTGTGAGATGATTCTAAGTCGCTATCAAGATATTAGAAGAATTGTATTCGAAAAAGCTTGACATGTTGCGAAACTAAAGATTTTTACTTCAAATTTCTCAAAACTAGGTACTGAGCAGATAGATCTTTGTAATTTTGAGGTAGCAAATCATCTCAGTATTATTTTACTCATGGACCTGTCTCCTCATGTTAAAAAAAATGTTGGCGGGTGCTCTGGTGTGGTTTGCTTCTTCTTTCCTGTCAAACATTTATCGTCCTTATCTCCCCTTCTTTTTTATGTTTGTTACTCTCTTGTAACACCTATTCTTCTGGCGCTCATATATGACCTTTTATGCAGTTGCGAGTGCCGTAAAAACCTCTACTAAAACTAAGATTTTCTGAACTTGTGCACAGTACCAGATACCACAAGCAAGTATCAATGTGGTTCTTACTGCCCTGTTCATTATAAATAGGAACCAGCTCTCTGATAATTTTGATGTGTTGTGTGTTTGTCTGTCAGTCGTGATGTCAGATACTGAACTTGTACCCCCGCGGCAGTGCCACTGACTGTAGTGTCTTTAGGCCATTCCCAAAGGGGGGACATTTCTCGTTCTAGCACAGTAGAATTGTAAATGGGCTGATTCATGTCACACTCATAACTGTGCCTGATCTACAACAGGGAAATGCTGCTTTTTCTTTCGTAATCCTTACTATTATCATTTTTCCTCTACTTCTTTTGTATGTTTGTCACTCTCTTGTGACCTGCTATTTCGGGGTGCCTTGATAGTTGAAGCAGACTTTGTGCTGTTGAAGCTAGAGAGGTGAGCAGAGTAAGTCTGAACCCCTGTAAAGACTTCTCTGTTGACACCCACCCCTTGGCGCTTATATATGACCTTATGCAGTTGTGAGTGCCGTAAAACCTTCTACTATTTATACTATAATAAATATAAACAGATACTGAACTTGTATGATTAACTGTTTATCTCTACAGTTGGCATGTGCGCACAAAGAAAAACATCGAAAGAGTGCGGCGCGATGAAGAGAAAGCTGCGGAGGAAGAGAAAGAGCGGCAAAGAAGAATAGCCCTCGCTGTAAGTGTAACTTTGAAATTCAACTTAAAAGCAGTTCTACTAGTATTCTTTGGCCATGATACAGATCATCAAAAATGTCTTACATACATCTGAGGTGTGCTGACAAAAAAGTTACTTCTCGCAGTCCACATGGAGAGATAATGTGACATAGTATATCGGCTGAAAACCAACACTGGGTTCAAATTTGTTGGTTAAGTGATCCCGTTTTCTTCAAGTTTAACATGTCTTTTATTATTTCATACGAAGTGGCTAGCTGTACTTAGATCTAGGTTTGGCCCTATCAAATCAAACCTGTTGGGTACACAGGTCTCATTAGATCTAGATCTAGTAATTATTCAGGTTCAAAATACATGCAAGTCAGTAGTAAGGCACCTTTTGTTTTTGTCTGAAATATAAATACTTTAGGCATTGCAAATTAAAAATTTCATTTTTACAATTCAGCCATCAATAATAAGTACGGCTAGCCTGATTGTCTAGCCATCCTTAAGTATGGCTAGCCAAGCCGTCTAACCGAGAAGTCTAGCCGTACTTAAGTCTCAAATACAAATACTTTAGGTACTGCAAACTAAAAATGTATTTTTACAATTCAGTAGGCTTTTTTTTTTTTGTCAGTCTAGCCATCATATTAGAAATAAGTATGGCTAGCCTAGCAGTCTAGCTGTCATTAAGTACGGCTAGCCTCTTAATAAATTGTACAAACTCTACCCATAAATTTGCTTACTGTAAAATGGACTGTACGTCCAGCATGTCATTGTTTTCAACAATATATCAGTTGTACCTCTGGGAGCCTGATGTAAATGATTTTGAGCCAGTGTTTTGTGGTGATTCAGAGGTGAAGAAAGATTGCCACGATAAAGATGTGTATGACAATTTTTTAAGATTCATTTAAAAGAACGTCCTTTTTCAGATTGCACAATGGTGATACAAAGCAATGTGTCTGTATTTAATTATACTTTGTTCACATGTTGTTCGGCCTGTGCCTACTTTCATGTTAATGGAAAACTAAATTTATTTTATTGCTTTTTGCTGTTTGTTGTTTTTTGGGGGGTGTTTTTGTTTTCAAAATTAAATGTTTAAGGTCAGGTGTGTTTACAATTAAACTTGCTGGAAAAATGAAAAATGACAAGGGTTGTGTGTGGGGAAGATTAGAATGTGGGGTCAAGAGAATTATTAAAACGTCATTTGTGTTTAATGAACCTTTGTTATTTTGTAGTTTGTTCAGAAAGGGTGCTATTATTCAAAACTTGTCACTTTTATTATATTGTATCTATTTGCTCACTGTTGTTGTATTGCATGTTTTTAGGAGCAAGAGGCTCGCACTGATCTGCTGAGAGCGCGAGCTCATGGGAGAGCCCTGAAGGGAAATGATTCGTCTCTACCCCCTCCCCCTGTGGAGTCTGGCACGGCAGAAGAAACGTCGGCCCAGCCAGGAGCCTTGGATGTTTTTGCACCGCGGTCTTCGGGACGGGACGTAG